AAAATATACAGTTAGTCACGCTGCCCTCTGTTAACTATGACTTTTCAACTTATTGAGAGCAGCTGTATTGTTAAGTGAAGAGAGATGTTAAAAAGAAACCAAATATCTTAGGTAAATATAATAAAACTCTTTTGTCTAATTGATTAATTTCTCTCTGTGCTATCCTCCAGGCTCTGGTGGACTTCACAGACTTCCAGATCTACCAGGAGCTGATCAAAGGCCGAGAGGACAATTCCTTCTACAAGAGCTGTGTGTCCGAGATGCTGCGCATTGTCATGGAGGAGGGCTGCACCACCCGCAGCAAGGTGCTCAATTACCTCGGAGAGCGCTTCAGGGTCAAAATGAACCTTCCTGAGTGGTACACGAACGAGCAGTGTGCCAACTTCCTGCTAGAGTAAGCCTTCAGTAATCAACAGCCCGACAGAAACAACAGTCTGTTGTGTTTTTTGTGCATTTGGTGAAATGAGTTTTGTTCTGTTTTGACCAGCGAGTGCATCTGCATCCACCTGAAGTCGGACATGGAGAAGTTCTACCTGCTGTGTCTGATGACCAGGAAGTTGTTCACGTTTGCCAAGCAGGAGTGCATGGAGGAAAACCCCGACAGCATCATGTGTCAGGAAGTGCTCACTCCCGGTCAGCTCTACCTCATGTTTATGAAGGTGAGGTCGTTAAGTCATAGAGCACCGAGTGATGTATAGTGCTTTTTTTTGGCAATGAAGGGAAGGAACTGCAGTATGTAGATACCATTGTGGTCTAAACCGAGTGTGGACAGAACTATTAGTGCGGGAGAGATGAGAGATGTTGCCATCGTGGTTCCCATATAATAAATTATACAACATTAATCACACACATATATATCATGGAAGGCTTATGGACTGTGATTGTAGTGGCAGAGTTGTGGGGTTTGGGGGTCGCCCCCCTAAGAAATGTTGATTTTCACATTTTAGACCATCATCATTACAATTTTTTATTTTAAAAACCCCACACAGGCTTTATATTTTATTTTTGTAAATATTGTTTCTAGAGCAGCAACAGCAAAGTCACCATATAAACTCACTGGAAGCAAATCTCAAATGTCAGTAAAATAAATAATATTCAGTCAGCATCAGTCCTTTTTTCTGTCATCTCAGATTTATTACTAATATATCAAACTACATACAGACAGCTTTTCTTTTAGCTTGTTCCTAATCTACTCACTAGTAGATTAACAAGTGGAAACATCGCTTTACTACTGTTTTCTACTATTGTCAGCTCTGGTCTCTCTTAAGAATAACTACATAGAAAGAGACAATCTTCTTGCTGATGGTTTTGTTTTGTTTGTGTACGTCGTAAAGAGGCACCAGTAATAAACTGGTTTCATAACCAGTTTAAAACCTCCTTGTAGTACGTTATTAAGTTATGGATTTAACCTCTACAATATTGCCAACAGGAGAGACTGACTGCCTGGTTGGTGTCTGTGAAGCTGTCCTTTGACAAGAAAGCCAGCAAACTGACTGGAGCCTGGACCGCTGAAAACATTATGAAGATGTTCAACATGGGCACTGACCTGACCAGACCCTTTGAGTATCTACTGGCCACTGGGAACCTCAACTCCAAGACAGGTTACGTCCATATGAGTCGAGTATGAGTACATGCGATGTTATAAAAATGAAGTTCCTCTGTTAAATAGACGTTGTTTACCCCCTCTGTACACAGGTCTTGGCATGCTGCAGAACACAGGCCTGTGTGTGGTGGCTGACAAGCTCAACTTCATTCGCTACCTGTCTCACTTCCGCTGTGTGCACAGAGGGGCGGCGTTCGCCAAGATGAGGACCACCTCTGTTCGTAAGCTGCTGCCAGAGTCCTGGGGCTTCCTGTGTCCCGTCCACACTCCCGATGGAGAGCCTTGTGGACTCATGAACCACATGACAGCCAGCTGTGAGATTGTGGCACCAACCTTGCCCACCATATCACTGCCTGCTCTGTTCTGCTCCCTTGGTGAGTCGACACAACTTCAGACACAAAGTTTCAAAGGTCCAGTTTGTCACATTTAGGAGGAGCTTTTGGTACAAATTGAACTCAAATGGTTACAATCTGCATCTTCACAGCTAGACTCCATTCAAACCTACATACTTGTCCTTTAAAGTTCTAATGTCAGTGCAGTAAACAACTCTTTTCTGTCTCTGCCTCAGGTGTTACTCCAGTGGATGGATCTCCTGGCCAAGCCCTTTCAGACTGCTACCCCGTGGTCCTTGATGGGGCCGTTGTAGGCTGGGTGGAGAATGAATTAGCCCCAGTCGTGGTTGACTCACTGCGCAGGTTCAAGGTACGTCAACTGTGTAAGATATAAAAGGTCAACTGGCGCATTATTTGTGCAGAAAACTGATATTTAAAACAAATAACCTGCAGGTGCTGAAAGAGAAGAAGATCCCTCCCTGGACTGAGATTGTTCTGGTTCCAAAAACAGGCAAGGCCAGCTTGTACCCGGGCCTGTTCCTCTTCACAACACCCTGCCGTATGGTGCGGCCTGTACAAAACTTAGCTCTTGGGAAGCAAGAGCTGATTGGCACCTTTGAACAAGTACGTGTAAACTACAATACCTGAAGCACACAACAGCAAAGGTGGATCTGTTTCGGTTGCTGAAATGTTTATTTAATCCTCTTTTTCTATCTTGCTCTAGCTTTACATCAACGTGGGCATCTTGGAGAATGAGATCGAGCCAGGAGTGACCACGCACCAGGAGCTCTTCCCTCACAGTATGCTCAGCGTGGTGGCTAACTTCATCCCCTACTCAGACCACAACCAGAGTCCCAGGAACATGTACCAGTGTCAGATGGGTCAGTCTCAATCCTTTCAGTGCCATTTTTAGCTGCTGTGAAGTCTTGTAGAGTCATGAAGCATAGTTTAAACTCATTATATTTCCAGGTAAGCAGACTATGGGTTTCCCCCTGCACTCATTCATGGATCGCTCGGATAACAAGCTGTACCGGCTCCAGACCCCTCAGAGCCCGCTGGTCAGGCCCTACATGTACGACCACTACAACCTGGACAACTACCCCAGCGGCACCAACGCCATCGTGGCTGTCATATCCTACACGGGCTACGACATGGAAGATGCCATGGTGGGTAAAACAATAGTTGCTGTAATTTCGTCCCCCTGGTAAAAATGGAGGGAAATCCTGACACAGTTTTATCTCATTAGATTGTGAACAAGTCGTCATGGGAGAGAGGCTTCGCCCATGGAAGCATCTACAAGACTGAGCTGGTGGACCTAGCAGACAAGGTGAGGGGAGAAGACAATGTGGTGTTTGGGGCCAAGCCAGGTGACCCTAAAGTGAGTGAGAAACTGGACGCTGATGGGCTGCCACACATCGGATCAACACTTAAGTACGGAGACCCCTTCTACAGCTACATCAACCTCAACACCGGCCAGACCTTCGTCAACTTCTACAAGTACGTTTCCACTACCTCGTTAATGGTTGTTTCAAATCATGATAAATCCTACAGTGTATTTAATATTTACTTTCAAGTTACAGTTGGTGACGTATTTTCCTCCTATTTTCTCTTTCAGGAGCCAAGAGGCCTGTGTTGTTGACAACATAAAGGTCTGCAGCAACGACAACGGCTCAGGACGTTTTAAACGTGTCTGCATCACCGTACGAGTGCCCCGAAACCCAACCATTGGTGACAAGTTCGCCAGCCGCCACGGTCAGAAGGGCATCCTGAGCCGCCTGTGGCCGGCCGAGGACATGCCCTTCACAGAGAGCGGCATGAGCCCCGACATCCTGTTCAACCCCCACGGCTTCCCCTCCCGCATGACCATCGGGATGCTGATCGAAAGCATGGCCGGCAAGTCCGGCGCCCTGCACGGCCTGAGCCACGACGCCACACCCTTCACCTTCTCCGAGGAGAGCTCTGCGCTCGAGTACTTTGGCGAGATGCTCCGGGCGGGTGGGTACAACTACTACGGCACGGAGCGGCTCTACAGCGGAGTGAGCGGTCAGGAGCTGGAGGCCGACATCTTCATCGGCGTCGTCTACTACCAGCGGCTACGTCACATGGTCTCCGACAAGTTTCAGGTGAGGACGACGGGAGCGCGAGACAAGGTGACCAACCAGCCAGTGGGAGGGAGGAACATCCAGGGAGGCATCCGTTTCGGGGAGATGGAGCGGGACGCCCTGTTGGCACATGGCTCCTCTTTCCTGCTTCACGATCGCCTCTTCAACTGCTCGGACCGATCGGTGGCTCAGGTGTGTGTCGACTGCGGCAGCCTGCTCTCCCCGCTGTTAGAGAAACCGCCGCCCTACTGGTCGGCCATGCGCCACCGCAAGACAGTCTGCACCCTGTGTGGTAAAAGTGACTCCATCGACTCCGTGTCAGTTCCTTATGTCTTCCGCTACTTTGTAGCCGAGCTCGCGGCGATGAACATCAAAGTGAAATTAGATGTTAAATGAGTTCTGCAGGACAACCAGTGAAGATACAAATGAAACTGCTCTTTGTTTTATTGAAATAAAGCTGCTAGAATTTACTGAAAAAATATTAAAAATAACGAATTGTAAAGCCATTTTGTATCAGAATAACCAGGCGTCTGAGAAGTTTATTAGCCAAGACTTGTGAATAACCCAAAGTTCTGTACAGTAATTCTGAGCATTGAATAAACATTATGTTCTGTACCAGGAATTCAGATGATTTACTTAAGTAGAAGAACAAACTCCATTACAAAGAGAAGTCCTACTTTAAAATCATATTCAAGTAAAAGAACAGAAGTAATGTCATCCAGAAGTACTCATTCTGCAGGAAAATGGCACATTACTGACATATTACATTAGATTGTTGATGCATTAAGGCATAAATATAATTTTAGTGTTGTAGCTACGACAGTAAAACAGTGGTTGTGGAGCTGGTTTTAATTTCTTTACATGTCATATGCTTCAAAAGGTTGAGAACCACTGATTTAATTCATTAATTTCTAAGTGTATCATATGTTTTCTTAATGTGAAGAGTACATTTGATACATTTAGTGGAGTAAAAACAACAGTGCTTCCCTCTGAAATGTAAAAGTATAAAAGGAGCAGAAAACTGAAATTTCAAGTAAAGTACAGTTAACATATAAAAGATGAACGCCGCGTCTCCACTTCCTCCCACTGTACAAAAAATGAAGCCAAAATATCCCGGTCTGTGCAGTAATGAGTAACAGGACTCAGCTGACAATCATGATGTGAAACCCCCTTTTTATAGCTTCAAATAACTAATTAAAACCAAACCTAAAATGCCACAAACCATCTTTGGAAATTATTTATATGACGTGTACTTGAATTCTTGCTGCTAACATGGAGGCTTTAGGACCTATACTGCAATCAGCCAATAGGGGGTGATGGAGACGTTTTTGGCTTCACTTTTGGAGAGAGCTGTCATGTCGTCCATCTTTATGTCTATATCTAGTATGTCAGTGTGTAAAATCTTCAGCAAAATGCATAAAACAAATAAAAAGAACCCTTGTTGACAGGTTGGAAAGGATCCTGACATTCACCTTTTAAACGTATCCATAATTAACAGTGACAGTCCTCCTCAATCAGCAGTTATTACAGCTGTGCCAGAACATCTGGCAGCAGCAGCACAGTGGGGATGGTGTAGTCTGGTTTCACTGAACCGTCTGGCACGGCGTCGCCTGTACTGCTGATCCAAACTGTAGCCCGCACTCTGGCGTTAAAGCCCCCTTGAATATCTGTATCCAGAGAGTCTCCCACCATCACGCAGTCCCGGGCCTCCACCTCGAGCCTGTCAAAACACAACTTGAAGATGGAGACAAACGGTTTCTGCTCGGCGTGTTCGCCCCCGACCACGACGGCGTCGAAGAGCTCCTTGCACCCGACCGCCTCCACCTTCTCTCTCTGGGTCTGAGCTTCGCCGTTGGTCAGCAGCAGCAGCTTGTATCTTCTGCGCAGGTCTTTCAGGAGGGAGCACGTTTCAGGGGACAGGCTGAGGACCTCCAGGCGGCTCTTCTTCCAGAGGTCGTAGCACTCAGCTGCCAGAGAGGGTGAGGAACAGCTGCCCGCCGCCTCCCGGATGCTCTCCTCCCAGTGACCCACGCGGACCTCATCGATGGATCTGCCGGCAGACGGGTCGAAGCTCTCGCGCAGAAGCTTCTGCTTGAACTTGTCACAAATGCTGCCGGCGGTCACGTCGTCGAGGTTCAATGTGGTCTTCAGAAGCTCCCTGGTCTGAGAGAGTCAAACATAAGAGATAACCCCGTAAAAATAAAACAAACTTGAGATCGTTTTAGAGGTTGAAGTGAAATATAAGAGTCGTATGCACTTATTTTACGGGATGTGAAGGTTATAGCGACGTGTTACTGTGTGTTATCATTTTAGATCAAAATCAGGCATTTAAATCACATTTAAGAATAAATTGTACTACACTTTAATGTTTATTTTCTGCCTGCATATTTTACAATAATAGGAGGATCTTTACTCACAGGTATGTTTTCATTAGTGTTTAATCACCTGCATAAACGGATTGTTGTATTTTTGTTCCCTTAAAATGAGTTTTTTTATCTACAGACGCCATGTTGAACCATTGTGTTTCTACAGTAGCCCAGAATGGACAAACCAAACACTGGCTCCATTCACCCTTCTCATTCCCAGGTTGTCAAATACAGACGTGAGCTGTGTTCAGTTAGTTGCAATCTGCAACTTCGCCGCTAGATGGCACTAAATCCTAATGCAAACTGTCGCAACACATTTAAAGTCAAAAACATTATTGTGGCACATTAGTGAAGCATTGAATATAAGTATGTACTTTAAGTAAGTAACTTTAATCTAGGAACATTAATTGAACTGTTCTTTTAACACTAAATTAATGTGTTAATGTGACTCATTTTTTATTGGGGCAGCTGCCATCCAATGCCCCCCCTCTCTCTCCACCCCTGACATTAACACACTGTCATAAAAACAAATAAAACTCTTCAATAAAAGTGGACAAACAGTATCTTCAGGTGCTCGGATCGATTGATTATCGCCTCACCTGAACCATTAACCAACACATTAAATGCCATTTAAACATCCGGGTATCAGTGACCGGTCACCTGTAAGTTAGTTCATTGATCACTTCCGATAGGTTGATGTTACCAATACAGAACCTATAATCACCTTCTGTATCGCCACTTCACCGGCTCGACTCGTTTCAATCAGCGTGTTGTCCAAATCAAACAATATTGCCTTCACAGATCGATCCATTGCCGGAACACGTTGCTCATTCCTTGTTTACACCTAAATCCGGCTTCAATTGCAGAAGTACTACCGGGGTGAGGTGCATTATAGGAGATGTAGTTGTGATACGTGTTCAGTACTTTATTACAGTACTTGCAGGTTTCATCCTCTAGAGAGCGCCAATAAATAAAAATTAGAGTTAGATTTTTTGCCAAACGATTTCTGCACACTGAGTTCAGCAGCTTCAGTTATGATAAATAATGAAAATAAATTAGATTTAAACCTTTTGTGCGTCATTTAAATGGAAATAAGTTATTTTTCCTAACTTTTTTTGTGTTATCCTCAACATTTTTTAAGGAATATGTATTCATTTGTCACAATGTTTGACATGATATACATGTATATATTAAATATAAATCAAAATCAGACTCTTACAAGAAAATACTAATAAATTAGTACAAATTTGACTGTTTTTATTTAAAAAAAAAAACTCCCCAAAAACTAAACTGACTGTAGATTTTCTACCACATCTATTTTATTGATTTATTATATAGACTATATTTAAATAATTAATAAAAAAGTACAATAAAATAATCCAATCTTTTGTATTATTATCTTCTCTTTTAATACCTGTATGTTTATCATTGTTTGGTTGTTACCTGCGTCTGTGCTGTGTTTTGTTTTATCAGCACTGACAACTTCTACTGTAAGCTTTATAAGAATGATTGTTTACATTGTTTATATGGACAAGGAGGAGAAATAAATCTAATTTAAATAAATGTTATTAGCAGAAATGTCTGAAAATGGATAAGTTCGCCTTATATGACGCCTGCGTTTCAGATGACATTTTCCATTATGGACAAGTTCTCCATTTCTCAAGTTCTCAACTGAGCCTTCTTATATTACAATGCAAAATTATTATTAGAACGACGACAAACAATCAGTGTCATGACTTGTCTAATTTAATGCCCTACGTGACTCTTGACCATGCATATTGCCAATTTAAACACATATTCCGTGACACGCACTCTTCCAAAATCAAAACATACCGTAATTCTTATGCAACCTGTCCTCAAAACTCGCTCTCTCATCTGGCAAAGGCCCAGAGGTTCACACGCAACAGTGTGCAGGCCTGTTGCACCACCAAACCTGATCAGAAATCACAACAACCCCACACCTGAGAGTGTGTTCTGATTGCAGCTGCAAGGTGCTTTGCGTCTTTAAGAGAAAACCCTGACCTAATTATTCCAATTACCTTTATAAAATAAATAAAAAATAAATGCCGCATAAACTATAAATCAAGAAATGGTGTGAGAGGACTAACCTGCTTATTATCTATCAGAACAAACAACACCTGCCGCTTGCATGCGAAGCAGGAATATGGTTGTTTAAATGACAGAACTCAAAACCTTTTTTTTTTAATTGCTCTAATTAACCTTAAAACAGAAAAAAAGGAAACATAAACAGTGGATGTAGGGTGAACTTACAAGTGTAAAGGTGGAATTTCCCCTCTCATGTGAAGGGTGGAAGGTGTGTGTGTGTGTGGGGGGGGGGGGGGG